AAGTTGGCACTAATGGGCTTCCGTAGATTTTGTCCAAAATTTAACGCACTTTGAAAATTTTTTTTTCAAAGTGTGTTGATTTTGTCCCAATTTTAACGCACTTTGATTTTTTTTTCCAAAGTGCATTAAGAGTGTAATTTTTCAAAGTGCGTTGCCACATACGAGGTTGCTTTATATAATTTTTCCAATAAAGAATGTTATGTTAACAAAAGTTATCTCTCTTTATATACATATGAATGAATAATAATTATAGTAAATACTAATCATTATTCATTTGCATTTTTACTGGTTTATTTTATTTTTTATTTATTTATTTATTTTTTTTTTTAGAATATTCTCACTGAACATAAGAGACAATATGATATTCCCGGACCTCTGTGTCAATTTATTCATCGTTTCCAGGCAGGCTGGCAACAATAAAATAAATGTTGTGACAAATGTTTGCCCCAAAATAAAATAATTTCAAGATTCATTTTGAAACAATATATAATCGTAATGTATTTCACAACAGTCATGCATGTATTTGTGATTAGAGACCATTTACAATACATAACTTTGTATTTACTCTATTGACTGATATGATGTAAAGATCCCTATTTTGAGATTCGTTAAAATTACAAAAAGCAGCTTACCTTTCACTATGAATCATACTTAAAAATGTTTATTTTTTCACTAGAATACGGAATTTCTTTACAATATGGACAAATTTAGCTGAAGTAGTTAATATTTATTTATATTTATGACAATTAAGTATTTATTATTTATTTATAACATTACAATATTTATTATTTATCTATGACATACAGGTATTTATTATTTATCCCTGACATGCAAGTATTTATAATTAATTTATGACATGCAAGCACGTGTATTTATTATTAATTTATGACATGCAAATATTTATTATTTTTATCTCTGACATGCATATATTTATTAATTATCTATGACATGCAAGTATCTATTACTTATCTATGACATGTAAGTATTTATTAATTATCGTTGACAGGTATTTATACTTCATTTATGATAACTAGAAGACTAAGATCATTGGTATAACACATGGGAAAAAAGGGGGAGTTTATGCTATGTACCAAAAAAGCCAATATTTTCCCATTTTAAATATTTTTCATACCACCCTATTTTGTTTACAAATTTAGTAAGTTTACTTAAAATCTATAAATGAAAGAGATGGAATATCTTATCTTGGTCATATTAGTAAAACTGGAAATGAATTTCACTTTATTTTAAGATATAAATAGGTGAAAATTTCAATGGGAATGACCTTTTTTGGTGATATCAAATCCTATGAAGGTCAATGAACTTTGACTGCAGACAATTCATACCCCTACATAAAAAAGTATCCTATTATAATCAATCAGATTTAAGTCACTTAAGCCAATGTTTAGACCGGAGTGAAATCACCTCTAAACTGAAATTGATGAGATTATTAATAAATTTGAAGTCCGCCATAATCACTCGCCTGCAGCAAGGGAAATCTATTCCTCACCAATAAGAATCAGGCTGATTAATGGCTATTGAATGTTTCTTCTTCGGATATTGTCACCTAATACAAAACAGAATTGTCATTTGAGTTCCGAGGGTGATGACGTGTCTTTTTTTTTTTTTTTTTTTTTTTTTTTTTTGAACCCTCGTCCAATGTCAATGTCTCTCAGGTTAATTTTGGTGTTGATAAACAATTCTTTATTTTATGTCTGAAAAAATAAGCATTTACTACGACGTTAAATGGGTAAATAAACATTTACTAGGATGTTTGAATAAAAGTAAACATTTGCTTAGATGTTTACGACATTAAGGATATCATTATATTACAGAGGTATGTTCTTATTTGTTCTGTGAGATTTACAACTCTTCTGCATTACATAGATTACAGTTAATAGTGTGGATGCTATTTTCAAAGTATGTAAGCAAGCATATATGTGCTGGACTTGTTTTTCTTAGTTTGAAATAGAAATGTAAAGGGGGACTTGATGAAAAACAGCAAAGATTTATATACAAATGTTATTATTTTAAGTAGTAAGTTGGAGAAGAAAAATAATAAGGCTTATCTTGTAGAAGTCCGAGGATAAAAAAAATGTACTCAGTTCAGGTAAAATTTCCTCATTGCATTGAAATAGAAACAAAAGGGAAATAAGGAATTCTAAAATTTCACACTGAATATAAATCGGAAACTAATATTTATATGCAGTAGAAGAAGCTTTCAGATATTCACTCAATTTAAATTATAATCTTTGAGACTATAAAACAGTCCTGTAACAAGTATTAAAACCGGGTCTTTTATTTTTATTAATATTATTATTATTATTATTATTTTTTTTTTTTTGTAAATACAAGGGCCTGAGGAGAATACTCACAAAAAAACAACAACACTGGATTGATTGAATGTGTGTTGTTTTACGTCCCATTCGAGAATTTTTCACTGATATAGAGACGTCACCATATTCCGGTGAAGGGCTTCGAATTTAGACATATACTCGGCACTCAGGGCCATTGAGCAGTGAGGAATCGTGCCAACGCCTGCCGTGACACGGGAACGCTGTTTTTTAAGTCTCACATGAAAGACCCTTGACTTTCACCTGTAGTGTCGGGCGCTTTGCAAAGGAAATGTCACTACCCCTGTTTACCTCTTAGCTTTGACGTGGCGCGGCAAACGAGAATGGAATCCGGGACCCCAAATCACGAAGGCGAACGCCCTATCACTAGGCTACATTGACCGGTTAAAAGCACTGGAAAATCCTTACAAAGTTTTCTTTCGCTTCTGCAGTTGTTGTAATAAACTCAGGATGATTCCAATCAATAATGGATACACGTGTACCAGCTGCATCTCTAAAGGTTTGATCTGTGGTATGATAATAAATAATTAACATGCAGCAAATCAAGACATCTTAAGGCCGGTCTTTTAATAAACAAAAGAGTACAAAGCAAGGATAAACTTCTTGAAGTAAAAAGATAAGAAAAAAATAAGACTAACAAGGGGAGACTACATGTAGACCACTTAGATAAACTATGAGTAGACAAACAAAGATATTGCAAAGCTAGACGACATGTAAACCAATTAGATAATCTTTTTTGTAGACAAACAAAATGCAGAGCTAAACTACATGCAGACATGTTAGATTTACTATGTGTAGACAAACTAAGATATTGTAAGGCTAGAGGACATGCATAGAAATTAGATACAGGTAAACAACTAGTATTTGTAGACAAAATAAGGTACTGTGGACCTAGACTATATGTAGAAAAATTAGATTAACTACGCGTAGTAAAAAATAAGACATTGTACAGATAAACTACATGGAGACAAATTAGATTTAATACGTGTAGACAAACTAAGATATTGCCGGGCTCGAACACAATAAGACTATTTAAATAAACGATTTGTAGACAAAGATATTTCAAGGCTAGACTATATGTTAACACTTTAGATAAACATGTTTAGAAAAGCTAAGAAAAAAAGGGAGGTTAATATACATGTAGACAAGTAAGGTACGGGTAAACTATGAGTCAAACAAAGATATAACGAGGCTAGACTACCTGTAGACAAATTAGACAAACTAAGATATTGCGACCATATCTTAGTTTGATGTAATTAATCCACATGTCTTACCCAGGGGTAAGACCATATGTAGACCATTAGATCAAACTAAGATATTGCGGGGTAGAATACAATTGTTTTATACAAATTGATAGGACTTTGTTTTTATAATGAATTTAACTACGTATTATTCCGCCTATACCTGATTAATACATAGGACTCACGGCATGTGTTACCGGTCACTCCTATAGACACCTGATCTCACCATTGGAATGGTGTTTTTTGATTTGTTTACAGAATTGTTTTATTCGTAAATGTTTTTTTTAGATCGAGTACTGTTTGTTTGTTTGTATTTTGTTTAACGTCCCTCTCGAGAATTTTTCACTCATATGGAGACGCCGAGTACTATTTGTAATCTTCGTAATAAAACTCGATTATGTTAGACAAAATGAGATATCACCAGGATAGTCTAAATGTACACTAGATAATGGGATTATTTGAAGACACAAAAGACAAAAGACAAAGCCAGGATAGAACATGTGTAGACAAAATAAAAGGATTATATGAAGACACAAAAAACATAGCAAGGATTGATAATGTAAATCATATACGACACCACCTCCGATGCACCAGATACATACTTCAACAAATGACGCCCCCCACACGCACCAGCGAATGTGTAATGAGTAGACAAAAAAAAGCAGGATGATATGAAAACATATAAGACATGGCGAGGATAGATAATGTGTAGACAAAACAGTATTGTATGAAGACAATGCACTCAAGGCAGAACTATAGGTTTGGATAATGTAAGAAGATTTTGTTAAGATGTTGACAAAATCAGCAATGTCTGATGATGTTAATAAGTAAATCCCCCTATCCCCCATCCCTCTTCCCAACTCCGTCCTGTATGCAGAAATTTTGTCAGATAACTTTTTGCTTTGTAGGTAGACTACTTCGTAAATTCACAATTAGAACTGATTTTTGAAAACTATATTCTACTATATTCATATTTAAACAGTATTTTGTTAATTTAGCAGTTTTTATTAGAGAATAAAGGACGCTCTCTATTCAGTATTTCTAATTTTGTCACAAATATAATTGCATGTTAAACTACATTGCTCTAAATAGCATGTCTATCAATTTTGCGCCTCTGCCAGGAGAAAAAAACACAACATTCTTGTAAGACGTTCTAATTTGATAACATGAATGATATCTCGTAAATAAAGCTCTGCTTCTGATGATACCTACTGTGAAGTTTTTTTTGAGTAAGCAAATTTTAATGGCAGGTGCGCGTGGAACAAAACAAATGATCAGCATGAAATTGCAGGAAGCATTATAATGAGTTGTTACAGTAAAGAATATTGATTGAAACCATTCACCCATCATCAGCTAGTCTCCGGGACGATTAACAGAGTTTCAAGCAATTACCTATTAATGCAAGCTCCGTTTTATAAACCTTCTTATATACTAAATGCGTTATTGATACTTGAACTTTAAGACCAGCCAGTTGTTTTGCTCCTAATTATCACGTGACATACGAAAGACACTTTAGATACATTCAAATTAATACTTCGATACTGCGATATAATATTTCAATCAATATTTGTTTTATTATCTGAGGAAAACTTAGTTTTGTTCATTGTTTTCATATCTGAAGATTGCTTGAAATGCAGACGAGGCTACGGGATCAAAAGAAGGAATTTTATTGAATTCAGAATGGATTCGTACGGAAGTCTTGAATTCAATGTTTCTACATGGGCCACAACGAGTGAGGTAAGTCATATTCTTTTATTTACCTGGTTTTTTCGCATCCCTTTATTTGCCAGATTTCAGTTTCTCCGGAAATAGGTTAAATGTACAATATGTACATGTATTAGAGGGAACTGGTTGATTTTCAACATTACAGTGCATCAAAATGTTTGGCGAAAACCCTTTGTAGGTTCTTGCCTGTAAATAGAGTTGTTGATTTTGTTGAGCGAACTCAAAATATGGTTTCGCTTGTCTGTATGTCTGTTGAGTGTGTTTTGAATTTATTTTGCAGATGATTTCTTAATTTTTCAAGTGATTACAAAAATAAAGTTTCGAAAATATTCTCACACAAATAATCATAGATAATAAATCATAGGTTTCATGTGCCCTTTACATAGATATAACATGGTTATATTAATAAAGTAAATCATAGAAATTTGTGTATGATACTGCAAATTTGATGTCCTTGTTAGCGAATACAATCTATAGTTAAGTCGAATGTTGGCTGACGCTTTCCAGACAAACTGTTAGGCCATTATTTTCACTGTATTATATACAGATTTTTCGGTTTACCCTATCATGGCAAGGAGCACACGGCGGGTGTGGCCTATCAATAGGGAATGATTACTCCTCCATGGCATCTAATCCTCCTTCTGATGTTATAAGAGGTCTATATTTGCTTTGCTCCCAATTCGTATTTTTTTTCAGTTTTTTCAGTGGACTTTTGAGCTTAATTGTTGTTTGTTCTCTTCATATTTCATTTCATGTTCAGTATTTTTGGAAAAGGAAATGAGTTCTTTCATTTTCACCAAAGTAAAAGGAAGCTTAAATAAATATTGAAACCCGTAATCGTTTTTATTGTTGTTGCAGAGATCACAATGCCTTTCAGATCTGTCAGTTCTATAAATCTAAAAGTCTCAGATTGTACGTTGTTGCGTTGTTACAAACACATTGAAATTTTTGAAAAAAAAAATCTGAAATCAGCTGGTTCATGTAAGATATTTAGATAATTCTTAAGACCCAAATCACACTTCTACATTCTAAAATGAAAAAAGTGAAGGTAACAGACAGTGCTTGATCTCAAAATTCTTAAAAAACAGGACACATTTATAAACAGGGCATAAAACAAAAAAAAAACCTGGAAACGCCAGAGGTGAAATCTGATGTCCAAGAGGAGTTTGTTATTCCTATCATTCCCGCCACAGTCCCAATGTTTTGATCAGATACTCGGAGAATTTTGTATAGAAACAGTGTTCTAACAGGTATAAATATATCAGTCAAAATACGTACGACCCAATAAGGGCTGTGTTTGCAAAAATGTCCTTATAACGACTAGACTTTTTGAAATGCTGACTTTAAATGAGATATTTAAAACCCCTTTAACATCAACTGATTTGTCAGTAGCCTGTCTTAGTTTACAAAAAATCGTTCTATTGCGTATCGAATAAGTTGGGATATGCAGTGATAGTAAAATAAGGAAAGCTGCGGATGGAGAAGTTGAGATCATCTTGTTTGTTAAACAGTTTAGTTTTAGTGACCATTATTGCTTCTAATCTATAAATTATTTGAAAATGAAACAGATGGGGCAGACTCTGTGGTATCTTTTTTGTGAAGCTCACTGGGATATATCGAGTCGACATATGAATGAAAGTTGTAATTGTAAGTCTATAATAAATCAAATGTTATAATAATATTTACATAATTTTACTTGCAAGCAAAACGCAGAAACACGAAATACATGTGTATTTGTTGAATTTTTTTTTCTACTTTTTTTTTACGTGATTTTAAGTTTATAAGAAGGGCATAAGATAATCATTAAAAAACTTAATCAAAAAAATTTGGTAAAACATTTCAAGTAGTTACTTTTTTAACACAATGATTTTAAAACCTGCGATTTTCAGAATACTCTCATGGTATTTGTTTATTTGCAAACACACATACTGAATATATTCATTTTGATAAAAATGTACCATTATTTCCCTTGCCACGACCCTGTTAAGTATGACTTTATAACTTCATTCTACTGTGATGGTTTTATCTTTTGCCTTTTCTATGTATTTCAATATACTCCATGCATTGTTTTTCTAGGAAGAGTTATATCCCTTTCGCAGAGATCCCATCCGGACCATGTAAGTCTGGGCTTCGGATCCATGCAAGCGTTTCATAAAAAAGTAATGCAATCTCCTAAACATTAGTTATTATATGTTTTTTCAAAAGATATCCCCCCTTTAAAAAATCTGGGAGACAGATGCTAAATTACAGTTATAACTAAAATCACAATTGCCTTCCATTATTTTATTGCTTCTTCAAATTGCCCGTTCTATGCTTTTTTATCAGAATTATTATTGAAAACACTGGGAATAAATCTATCCTTCCTTGAACTCCATCATTTGTTTATAGTACGGGACAAAACCCTAAAGAGTCTCGATAAACTAAGAACAGACTAAAATAAAATTACAAAATTCACAAAAAAAACATCATTTATGATCATTTATGAATTTAGTCTAAGTCTCTAAAGATCTGACGGGTAGTTCTCATTTTCCGAATTAATAATTTTCTTTTCTTTTACATGTAGATGTCCATGTAAGATAAAGTAAACGACCATCAATTTTGCAGTTTATACTTTTTTTTTTTTTTTTACAAATCATAAAACAAACTTGCTTTATTTCGGTTATAACGGTTTATGATAATGATTACATAAGCATTGTGCACCAAAAAATTTCAAATTTATTAGACATGCTAAATGACTGAATAAAAAACAGGAATTGCTTTCCAACACGTTATCATCAAATCTTTTTAAACACATATTTTTTAAGGTTGGATGCACATCATTCCAGCTCCACTTGTCTGTAAACAGGTTTTCACGTGCATTCGCAAAAGTAAATAAACAATTTATTATCAAATACACTTTATATATTACTCTCCGTTCAAAAAATTTCATGTCGACAAAAATGCCGGGGTTTAGCTCCCCATCTCCTACGTGACGTACAGCATATATATCTCTCTTTCACATGCCGGAGTTTTTTGTTTATTAAATTGTGCAAATCTGATTAAAAAAAAAAGGGGGGTCGGATACGTAGAGAGAGAGAGAAAGAAAAAAAAGAGATAGAGAGAGGGGGAACAAAAATACAATGTTTCTCTTAAATGTCAATATTCAACGCCAACAACCCTTGTTCATAAAATAATGCCCTAATATTACCTATTTGGTGTTAACTTTGCGTCTCCTAACTCATTTGTACACAAGAGCATGTTCTGAGACTGATAAGATTTTAATCTAAGAAAGGCAGACAAATAATTTGAAGTTACAAGTTTTTTCAACTATCTTGTTAAAGTCAATTTTTGTTACAGGTCACGCTCGACATAGGCCCCTTGCCTAAGTAGAGAATATTTTTGGATATTGCCATTTATCATGCATTCTCAAAATTGTAGTTTGCAAATACTCACTTATGTGATTCAAGGAATATGATAAACAAAAATTTTACTCAGTCTAATGTCTATCCTTTTTGTCAGTGGCCTTGAAAATTTTATCAAAGATACATTTTCAAATTTCTTGCAAAATGATGATAGTGTTTTCTTAACAAATCCGAGCGTTTCTGTTCCGTTCCAAAGGTTTTAGAGCCTGGAATACCTGCCCAGAATCACTTCCTTGCAGGGAGAAGTCCTTTCGAAAGAAAATGTATTTTGTTTAATGCGCCATGGAAATGGAACTGTGCCGTTGGTTCTGAATTTTTATTGCTTTATGTTTTTTTTTTCAATGTATGGGTTTTCGGAAAAGAGCCAAGCTTAATTCCATAATAACTTGTTTCCGCTACCTTATCTAAGAATGTCGATAGCTGTTATTCTCTTACTTAAAGGTCAGACTCCGAAATAAATGCATTATTAGCTCAAAATAAATCTCCACATTTCCAAATTCCTGCAAATTACTTTCGTTTAAATCATTTCTAACAAAATAATATCTGATGATTGAAATACTGATTCATGTTTACAATTTATTTTTTCGGAATTAAAACTCTTCATTAGAATCTTGGTAGCACTGTTGTCTCATCTTTCTTTATTGAGTACATTTATTAACTTTGGAATGTTAAGATATAAACATCATCATGTCAAATCAGTGATTACCTACAAATCAAGATTTTTACTGAATATTTAATGTCAAAGAGATAAACTAACAGGAATGTGAGAGAAATATTTATGTTGATGAAAGTTCCTCACACATAGTCCTGGCTTCTGATAAGTGAAAGACATCGGTTTTAGAACAGGGGCATTCGATCAAAAATGGAAAACGTCAGAAAACATTTATACCATGTCAGTTCAGTCGTTCGTGGATCGTAAGAAAAGGGCTTTGTATGAAAAAAATCCAGAATATTATAAATACAGAATTGAAAGTTGTGATAATAAGATACCAGTTTATGAATTGTATGCTTTTTTACTTTTCCTAGTAAAGAAAAGCATTTACACCCATTCGTTTTAAAACGTTCTGAAAAGCGCAAAAAAGCTCGTTTGTGTCTGTTGTTTTTTTTTTATTTTGGAATCCGTTGTGCCGTAGTATTTCCATTGAAGCCTTGGTAAGACGCCTTAAAATTGTCATTATGTATTAAGAGATGACAAAAGATATAATAGCTAGAGATTATACCGGGAGTGTTAACCGTTTTCTTTTCCCGAAAGAATGAAAATCAAAGGATGACACTAAACGATTCAGTCGACTGAATATTTACTGACAGTAAGAAAAGGGGACTAAATGGCAGAGCTCTACTATTCATTCAACTTTCAGTGAAATTTCGTCACCTTAAAGTTAATGATAGTATTTTATCCCTTGAGTAATACAGTTAAACATATATAGATTTGTTTATTTATTATTTTTTAATTTTTATACAAAACGTATGATCGTATGTGTATTTCATGTTTAAAAATTTAAATCAAAAAAATAAAAAGATATCAGAATTAAATCTGATTCTCTGACGTTGTTATTTCAGAAAAAAACTTGAGTTTCTCAGTGACAACATCTTTGTAGTCTTTGGAGATTA